GATCTTGTCACAATTCAACATGCAAGATTGTAAGCCAATTTCTACCCCTATTCCTATTAACTTTGAATTATCCTCCAGTATGAGTCCTAGCAGTGAATAAGAGAGAATGGAGATGTCTCGAGTACCGTATGCATCAATAGTGGAAAGTTTAATGTTCGCTATGATATGCACAAGACCTGACATTGCACAAGCAGTGGGAGTGGTTAGTCGGTACATGGCGAATCCAGGCAAAGAGCATTGGAATACAGTAAAGAGGGTCCTAAGATACATCAAAGGGACCTCAAATGTTGCATTATGTTATGAATGATCAAATTTACTAATCAATGGTTATGTAGATTCTGACTATGCAGGAGATTTGGATAAAAGCAAATCTACTACAGGATATGTGTTCAAAGTTGTTGGTTGAGTTGTAAGCTGGGTTTCAAAATTGCAGTCAGTTGTGGCTACATCCACAACATAGGCAGAATATGTAGCAGCTACACAAGCCAGTAAAGAAACAATTTGGTTGAAGATGCTATTGGAGGAGTTTGGGCACAATCAATAGTATGTCTCTCTGTTTTGTGACAGTCAGAGCATCTTGCATCTAGCAAGGAATCCAACATTTCATTCAAGGACAAAACACATACGAGTTCAGTACCATTTTATTCGTGAAAAGGTAGAAGAAGGAACGGTAAATATGCAAAAGATCCATACCAAAGACAACATAGCAAATTTCATGACGAAGGCGATTAATACTGATAAATTTACTTGATATTGATCATTTTGTGGCCTGTCAGAAATGTAAGCAACATTATGGTACAAGGTAGAAAGAATGGTTTGAATATATGATTGTTCCAATCAAATCTCAAGTAGGAGATTGTTGAAAACCAAAGTTGCTTTCGGTGCATGCACCGAAAAGTTGGAAAAAATCCCACCAAATGGTTGAAAATTGTCAAAAAGTGAGCTTGATTTTGTTGAATTTATGTAATGGGTAAATGACAAATTTAGTTATTACAATTTAGGGTATTTATAAGATTAGTCCTTAAGCTTCAACTATAAATACCCTAGCTCATTTAGGTTCAAAACCATCCCAAATCATTCTAGCTTTCTCCCAATACTAGAGAATTTAGAGAGTTTCTTGAGAGTTGTTTTCTCCTTTTTATCAAGAGAGAATTGTTATTGTTTTCTCCTTGGTATATAGAGAGAGGTTGTAATTTCTATTTTCTCATAGTAAAATTCTTCTATCGTTGCCCGTGGTTTTTATCCTATATTATTTAGGGGTTTTCTACGTAAATTTTGTGTCTCTTTTATCTTCATTTTTATTTTCTCAAATTATCAGTTACAATTTTGCTCTATTCGATAACCGTCTTCCTCAACAGATACATCAAAAATTGATGCAATGATCCACATACAAACTCTAAGAACTCATAAGACAAGTAATCAATTGAGGAAGAACTGAACAAGTTCAACAACTAAATCTAGCATTTGATGAGAGTTTTACAGCACCAAGGAAAGTCTCATCTTTATCATCCTTGTAGAAGACTATTCAGTCTATATTCAGAACATTTATACTAATCACCTGCTTTTTTCTCTAAAGGCATTTTTTTTTATCAAAAACAATAGGCAGCCTAGTTTTGCCTGTAAGCTATATAATTAGCTAAAGCAATCAAGGGTGCAGATTTCTCAGGATCAAATCCTTGAAGCATCTGTAATGCATCATTCTTCAACTTCTCTGCAAACTCCCTTGATTTTTCTATCCCCGTCAACTTTGGGTAAGTGACCTTATCAGCAACCAAATCTTTCCCTGCAGTCTTCCCTAGTTCTTTGGATGACATTGTTACATCAAGAATGCCATCCACCACTTGAAACAAAAGCCCAATGTTCCTTGCGAATTTCCTCAACTTTTCCACATCATCATCACATCCACCTCCAAGAATTGCCCCCAAAACAACAGCTGCTTCGCAAAGCAGCAGTTTTGTGGACATGAATGAATTCTAAATGATCCAATCCCACATCGGTTCGCCCCTCACTTGTGATATCCACAACTTGACCAGCCACCAGCCCTTCAGCCCCGATGGATTTAGCTAATTCCCCAACTGCTCTCACGATTCTACCAGGCGTGACACCAACTGTGGCAACAGATATGTGTTCAAAAGCAAAAGCCAAAAGAGCATCCCCTGCTAATACAGCTATATCTTCACCGAAGACCTTGTGATTAGTCGGTTTCCCTCTACGGAGACCATCGTTGTCCATCGTTGTCCATGCAAGGAAGATCGTCGTGGATTAAAGACATGGTGTGGATCATTTCGACAGCACAAGCGGCCGGCATAGCCATGGATTCTTGGCCGCCAACGATGTCACAGGCGGCTAAACAAAGCACGGGACGGACCCTTTTGCCGCCTGCTAAAAGAGAGTAACGCATTGCTTCGTGGATTTTAACAGGGTCACGAAGCGAAACAGCTGAATCCATGGCTTGGTTAACTGAGTTCGCCTTGTGAACCATGTATGATTTGAAATCAAAGCTTGATATTTGAGGGTCTTGTTCTTCTTCCTTGACGGTGTCTTCTTTTGTAAGGACTGATGAAATCGAAGGAACAGATTTAAAGCATCGGTTTTGGGGGGTTGAAGATGAAAGATTCTTCAGGGGATTGAAGGGAAACGATCTGGGTAAAGGAGAAGACTTGGATCTGGAAGCTTGGTTGAAAATGGAGTAGGATTGAACCAAAGAATCCAGATTCACGGTAGCCATTTTTTTCTTTCACTCTGGGGTGCTTGAAAGATTGGGTTTTTCCTATTAAAAAGGAGGGATTTTGAGTGAAAATGGAAAGAAGTTTAAGGATTCAGCTAAAAATGGGAAATTCTAATGCCAATATCCCTTCCACTTTCCAAATACAAACGGCTCCGATTAAGAGCTTAACAAAGATGAATTGGTGGAAGGAAAATGAAAGGGAAAAAATTCAATGGCAGTGGAAGTGGATTTGCATTAGTTCTAATATCAGCCAATGAGCAGCCAACAGAACAAAGATAGGATTTTTGGATTTGGGTAACTTAGCAAAAGGTATCTTTTGTAATTCACACCATATGTATATACACACATCATAGAAATATGTAAATGTATTAAAATATGGATTCCCGTTGATTGGGCCTGCTTTCCCCCATTAGACACTTTAGATATGGCTTTGACATTTTATTAGACATATTACAGCCAAGAATCACGTTTCATGCACATCAAAACGAAATTGCTTTCGCAATTATTCTTCCACTTGCTATAACTCAACACCACATTCTTAATGTTTAATAGTTTGGTAATCATTCAATTTTTTAAAATTAATTTAAAGTTATAAAATTATAATCACCAACTAAATTAAAAAATTCATTTTAAAAATTTAGACAAAATTATAAAAATTTGAGACTAAAATTAAAAATATATACTCTTTTGTCTTATTAAAATTATCGCTCATCAATTTTTCGTCAAAGTTTTAACTTTAACTTTTACATAAAAACTATTATTGATAAAATATGACAAAACATATTTAAAAATTATTATTTAATTAATACTATAAAATTTATTTATTTATACAAAATGGTACATCAAAGTACACAAGTATAATCATGTACCAATACAAGAGCAACGGGTATGGTATTGACTATCTTATTAAAAAAAATTAAATTAAACTAAAAATCGATACACTCATTATATGGAGAGAGTAAATATGTCTTAAAGAAACTGTTCGTTCTCCAAAAAAAAAAAAAAAAAAACTTATTCTTTTGTTTACCAAGTAACCTGCAAATTGAATGATTTACATCGCTAGCACGGAATTGTACAACCAAGCAACCTGCAAAGTAGCTATTTTAACTACAACAAAATACATTGATCAACGAACTCCATCTGACCAACAATTTGACCAATCATACCTCCTCTAAAGCTGTGATGATATATCCTCGAGCATTTTCGTTAAGGAGCTTTTCCCTCAAGTCTTTCAACAGAACGACCGGCAAAAGGGTCCATCGTGCCCCTGTAAAATCCATGAAGCAATGCCTTACTCTCTTTTAGCATGCGACAAAAGGGTCCGTCCCGTTCTTTGTTTAGCCTTCTGTGACCTCGTTGGCGGCAAAGAATCCATGGCCATGCCAGCCGCTTGTGCTGTCGATATGATCCACTCCATACGACGATCTTCCTTGCTTGGACAACGATGGTTTCCTCGTTGTCTTCTCCGATCTTTGACTCGGAAATGAACCTCTTTGTAGTGTCAATTCGCAGTTTTTCTTTAGCCCTCCCATGCAACCTTCTTTTTTGATCATGACAAGGTCCTGGAATTGCGCTTCTTTTTCCTCTGGATTTCATCGATAATCTTTGAATCAAGGCCTTCTTTACTCCCAACAGCCGAATCTTTATCTTGAAACATGTATCCATGCTTGTGCTTCATCAATTTGCTCAAGATTTGAGAACAACTTTTCATTGATTTTCTCAAGAGAACAGAAAAGCATCCAAGGCTTATTTAAGCAAATTAATGAAACACAAGCAAGAGTACATCTTCAATTCGCAGAATGGGTCTCCACAAAAGATCGTCTCTCTTGTCATCGCTGGCTAATTTATATCATTACAAATCACCAAAACGTGCCGATGCCATTTAACTTTTGTGAAGAAGGGATTTCGATGAAGATTTTCTGATCAAGATTAAGAAACTAAATCGTGAAAACGATTAAGGATAAGCTTCAAAGATTTTTTAGGAGAAAATAAAACAAAATAAATAAATTTTCACATTTTTTTTTGTATAACCATTGGTTTTTGATACGTTGATCGACTAATCAGGATCGGGTACTGTAAAGGCAAGGACAATCCTCCCAACCCACTTTGCTCCATTCGTAAACGTGAAGATTCGAACCCCTGACCTTGCTTAAAGAGATTTAGTGTTTCGTCCCACTAAACAAAATTTAGAGACTATTTATATAATTTATCTTAAAACTAAACAAAAGTGATGCAATTTTTATTATAAGGATGCTGCCTATGTCTTCATTAACCAGAGAAAATGATGTTAATAACATGCAGGTCTCTCCTTTGGGGAACAAAAACTATAAGTCTTCATTATCAAATTCTTGATCTGCGATCGTCCTTGCCGGATCATCAATTGCAGGTAGCCCTCTCGGTTCAGTAGGTTCTGTTCCACCACTCACGTTTGGGTCTGCTGCCGTGGTAACTACAAGTTTTAGCATGATACAGATGAAAGTAGGACAAGAAACAAATAAGCTAGCAGTTTAAGCAGTACCCCGCTCACCTGATCAATCATTGTCATCACTGCCCGGAAAAATTGAAACTCCTTTTGGTGCGCGCTGATGAATCTTGCCTGCATAAGGAGAAGTGCACACAACTATATCTACATCTTGTTTAGGAATTGGAGGGTGACATATGAATAGGCGGCAAAAGGGCAGATATCGAAGCAAGAGCCATGTAAAACTATGGTCTAAGTTAATATAAAGGGTGTAATATACCATTCCGGCACTTGCAAAGCCCATAAGATGATCAACTCTAGATTGATGTTTCAGCAAGTTAGGGCGATGGTGGTTCTTGTAGAATTGCTTAGCCCCCTGTTTGAAACCAATTCCATACCATGAATCATGGCCGTCAAAATATGATTTTGAAAATGGTTTCAAACAAAAGCAGAAACGTAATTTGAAACAACTGCGACAATAACATATGTATAATGTATTACTTTTTGATCTATTTCGATGCTTCCACCCACCACCTCAGGAAAAAAAAGGAGATTTTGCGTTAGCTAATTTGAACAAACCACAAAGAAAACTATTATTGGATGGAAGTTCTATGTTATTCATCTAGTGTCCCCAAAAAAAACAGAGTTAATACATAACATTAGTGAATCCTAACCATAAAAAGGAATGCCTCGGAGCCATGTAGTGGCTTGTCAGAAGATCCAAAGACAAGACAGAAAAAAATATAGAAAATAATTATGAAAAAATCAGCACGTTCACTACCCTGGATTTTGACATTAATGGATATACAAACATGATTTTGAACTTACTTCAGTAAATGGAAGTTGAAGCCAGATAAGAAATGCAAGCTTGAAATGATAATAGTATGGAAACCTGAAAGAAAGAAAAATATCATATGATCACTCATTGTTAACGATCATTATTACGGTAACAGAATATTAATGTGTATCATGAATTTTAACTATAAAAATTCATGAATATTAATGTGTATCATGAATTTTATTAAGGGTAAACTAAAAAAATGATCATTAATATTTAAATTAATTTTTGTTTTCTTACTGAAATTTCAAAAGTAACAAATCGATCACTCATTGTTAACGATCATTATTACGGTAACATAATATTAATGTGGTATGTTAGTTTACTTATACGATACTGTCTGACCATACTTATTATCTTGATAACACATTCACTTCTCCTTATTTTCTTAGCAACCAAACAATCTTTTATTTTCCCTAGACCAATTCAAACAAATCTCTATCTATTTTACCAATAGATGATTTTTCTGTAATTCCTCTATCTCAACTTTCTCAAACGTGTCAACCTAAACCAATTTTCTATTTTTCAGAATTTATAATTGCTGCATTTTTTTAAAAGTGTTTGACATACACACATTCATTAATTTTATACGATTTACCATATTACCGATTCAGTGATTAAAAGTATTTTTTTTCAAAAGTTCTAAATTTAAATAAATGTATCTATGAATGTATATACATTTTAATAATTAAAAAATAAATATTATTTTATAATCGTAATAAATTATTAAAGAAAACATTTTAGCAGATTCTTACATGAGAAAAGGCTTTACATTTCGTTGTATTGAGAAGCCCGTTGTAGAAAAGTGGGCCAATTTAGGCCATCGTCGATCGCCTCCAATCACCTTAGGTCACAGACGAGCAGAGCTTAATCAGGGTTTTAGCCGAACAACAGAAAGGGGAAGAAGCCAAAGCCCAAGCAAATGACAACGCGAATCGCTCCAGGTGTTGGAGCGAACTTGCTTGGTCAACACTCCGCCGAGAGGAACCAAGACGCCACTGCTTATGTAGGCAATCTCGATCCTCAGGTTCTCCCTATTGTTCCTTTCCCTTTGTTTCTTCTGTTTCCCTTGAATTTTTTAGTTTCACAGTTTGGATCTTTTACTCACTTTGCAGATATCCGAGGAGCTATTGTGGGAATTATTTGTTCAAGCAGGTCCTGTTGGTATGTTTAATAATCCTAAGGTTTTTTTCCTTTTTCAATTTATTTTACTGTTAAAACTTCTGAGGTTTAATTTCGTTTGGAACTTGGGTTTCTTATGTGAATTGAGTTAATTGAAAATGCCTGGGTTTTTCTATCTATCATTTCAGTTAATGTTTATGTGCCGAAAGATAGAGTGACCAACTTGCATCAAGGATATGGATTTGTCGAATTCCGAAGTGAAGAAGATGCTGATTATGTAAGTCTCAGTCCTTCATGGATTTTAGCCTTCGGTTTCACTTTTTCCCTTCCTTTTCAAAGAATTAGATTTATTTGTTTGGATTTCTAGGCTATTAAGGTGCTCAACATGATTAAGCTTTATGGAAAGCCAATACGTGTAAATAAGGTATGGAATTCCGAAATTTGAACAATTTTGATTTTTTTAATCGAAAAACCATTATTTATGTTGCTTCTTATGGCTTGTTTTTTGGATTGATTTCAGGCATCTCAAGATAAAAAGAGCTTAGATGTTGGAGCAAATCTTTTTATAGGGAACCTTGATCCGGTAAGTATTAGTCTATTAGAAGTACATAGATGCTATGAAATTGTAGGTTTCCTGTTTTAACTTTGTGATTACCGGGCTATACTTACAGGATGTGGAAGAGAAACTTTTGTACGATACTTTTAGTGCATTTGGAGTCATTGTTGCAAATCCCAAGGTACTATAAATGCTCTTTTCTTTTTCATTTATTTGATGGTATGCCATTGCTTAACGAGCTCAGTTCTCTTCACATGTGAAAGCGCATATCTTCATTTTGCTTGTTTAGCACTGCTTCCTGATTTCATATATGATTAATCAACCAATGCACCTGTTAAAGAGTTTGAAGTTTGTGGTTTAAACTGAAGTGTTTGCCATTGTAACTTTATCTGTGATTGACAATGAGAATGAGATGTAGTTGAAACCTGTAAGATTGACTGAGCTGGGCGGGCGGTGTGCTTTTGTTATGAGCGGCCTGATTTTCTAAGTTAGTGTTGGCTTTGAGATGGACCAGGATGCTTATATGCCTTTTTATTATTTCTTGATTTTTGTTTATGGGGAACTGATTGATACTAAAACTGATAGAAGGTCCTAGTCTCATTCTGCTCATCTCTTGAAAGTCGTCGATTGTGGGTTCAGAAAGTGATTAAGAATTTAACTAAATATTTAAAGTAGTTCATTTTCTTTTCAAGATTATTCTGCCCTTTGATAGTGGGTTCTGATGATACTTTCTGACCTCAGATAATGAGAGATCCCGATACTGGAAATTCACGCGGTTTTGGATTTATCAGCTATGATTCTTTTGAGGCATCTGATGCTGCTATTGAGGTATGTTTGCTTTGCCACTCACATGTTATATGCTAATCGAAACGGCATCATTTGTTGCTGTTGTCACTGCTTCAATGGAATTTGAATATGTGACGTGACAATGGTCCATACATCATCGAAATTTTTTGTCTATCCCAACAAATATGTTTACTTTCTCTTTGATGTTACAGGCAATGAATGGCCAATACCTATGTAACCGTCAAATAACAGTTTCCTACGCATATAAGAAAGACACCAAAGGGGAGCGTCATGGCACCCCAGCAGGTGCGTTTTAACATTTTTCACGGCAGACAATGTTACCTTGTCCCTTTCTTTTCGCAATTATTTTTATACCGGCTGTCTTTGCCATAGCAATCTGTAGGTGGCTCTAACACTTTTCCTTGTGATACAGAGAGAGTGTTGGCCGCAAGTAATCCAAGTTCCCAGAAGAGCAGGCCCCATACTTTATTTGCAAGTGGACCTCCGTCGCTACCTACTGGTCCCCAGGCCAATGGTGGTATAGGCGCACCGGTGCCTCCACGACCTTTCCCCAATGGTACTGTTACTCCAAGCCCGATGCCAGTAGCTCGTCCACCACCCCCTCAAAATGTTCTCTACCCTCAAATGCACCTTGGCGGACAAGCACCACCTTGGCAGGGTCAACCACAGCATCTTGGACAACAATTTCCACCTCCACCTATGCAGTACAGGCCCCCTTCACCAAACATGCCACCACCTCCACAGGCAATGTCTGGTCTTCTGAGGCCTCCGCCACCAATGTCAATGGGAGCACCACATGGCTGGCCCCAACAAGCACCACCACCACAACAGCAAATGGGTGGAAGGCCTCCTATGTCTCAAATGTCAATGCCGCCGCCTCCACCACCTCCGTCTACAAGTTGAATTATCCTAGTATCTGTTTTTTCTTGATTCACCAGATGTAGTTAATTTCTTGGAATCTTTATTTGACCCTCTAAAACGTGTAAAAGGGAAGGAGTTGAATGTGTATCCTTTTTATTCTCAAACTTGGAATTAACGATGAACAAAAATTCCAAGAAAATTAAGTAGAAGTCAGCTACCTCAAGTTGGAATGATACAAAACGTTAAGCACGATTCTTTTGCTGAGATTCCAATCCTGTTTGCAGCCAAAGAATTCCTAAAAGTATCAAATTTCAGAATTTATTTTTCGGATAATAAGTTCTCAATTGCTTTTGAAAATATCAACCTTTTCAATCATTTTAGAAAATTTAAGGAATTTCTTTTATAGTTAACTGATTTTTTTAATATTTGTTTAAAAAAACTAAAAATAATTATAATTTTTGAAAATAAATTCTGAAGTTTTTTTAGTTTTCCTTTTTTTTTTAAATACTTTTTAGAAATTTCCAAGTGCATCATTTGCACCGTTGGGACAGAGGAAGGCCAAGACCCATGTTTCTTATAACAATCCATCATATATATATTTGCGAATAAAGGAAGTCAATTGACGACAATAAAGGATGAAAGCTAGTTTCTTCCTGCTCTGTTTTGTTCTATGAAAGAAAAAGGACATAATTGAAGCATATTGCCTCATACAATCACTCCAAATATGGAAAATTTTCTTTCAATCTCCATTGCTCATCCAATCTAAAAATGGCTTCTTTTGTTATTCAGTGCCCTCATTTTATAGGCATATTGTTGTTTTGCTGTACAAACAACCGTGAAGTGTTTGGCAAATTATCGTGGACCTCATGTATGGTGTTGTTAAGTTGCACCCTCTACTTTAAAAGAAGCTAGGCAGCGGTCTTCACTGACCAAGACCAATTTACGGGATGTCCGAATTGTTAAAACGGATAATAAGCCATCTGTGTCATATGATGAAGGAAACCACTTCGAGTGCCGTAAAAGGGTCACATAGACAAGGGTAACATAAATTTTCTCTCCCTCTTCTTGACCAGAGCCTGCCTATAACCTCTCAAGCATATGGGAAGAAATATACCAAGGCATACAATGATAGACGAAAGCCAGAAGTGCCTAAAATAAAGCGACAAATAAGACAATATGACTAACAAACTAA